AAGATGGAATGCTCCATCTCGACTTGAATTAGTTTAAAACTAGTCAAAAAATATTGATCGCATTGGTGATAAAACAAACTCATTTAATTATTGTTAATTATGTTGAATTCTTTTCTATAACCAGGGTCTAAAAAGACAACTTAAAGCGGAAGTTCGCAGAGTTTGATTCATTTACCGAAATATTGAATTCAACAAAAATGTCATGTAGATACGTTTAATTCAAATATTTGATGAACTTGCAATGTAACTTGAAATATTATTTGAACTTTTAATTTATTCATGCCATATCTTCATGATATTCTACGCTGTAGTACACTTATAATGATTTCAAATTAAATACGATAAACTTATTAAATTAGGCAGATTTGTAAATTTTAATAGGTTTCTGTTAGTATACAGAACGAACTAATTGATTATTATCAGTCTTGATATTCATTAAACGTTTCAACAAATTTCATTCACTATTAAAACATTAAAATTTATAGTCTTTGAATTATATTACATAACACTAAAAAATCACATCTTGATTTAGTAATGCAATTGGATATTACAAGAAAGTATTCTCACATGAAGATCTAGTACTACTGATTTGCATTGTTACGTGTCAGTCACTAAAACTTGAGTTTGTTTTTGTCATTTGCAAGGATTTAAAAACGTGTGAAACAAAATTTACTTTTAAACTTCATGTATTTCATTGTCTCTTAAGCAATTTCGTAAAATCACATGAAATCGGTGAAATAGCTCTTTCTTTTTCTTGATATAATTACAAATACTGACTTGAACGAAATCGAATGTAAAAAAACTTTAAATACTTGAGTTCACTCATTTCAATGTATAATTTTTTGTATCAATAGTGTGCAAACGAACACAAGACATAAGTACACATTTAACTACAAAGCTTATTTGAAATAAGTCAAAATCTTTATCTCAACAGCATATTTTCAATGTTGGTGTAATGATATATTATTGTTATCAATCAACACAGTGATATATCACGTTTCTTATCAGCTTTCTTGCAAATCTTTCTAGAGACGCAGATTACAATTATCAAATTATCTTAATATTTTAAATTACAAGAATGTGATCTTACATTCATATGATTGCCATTCTTTTAGAAACAATCATTTGATAATCAAAATTGTTTGTAGTAAAACAGTTAAAAAAATCTAAAAACTGGATATTTTTTAATTTAAAAATCAAAATTTTTTGCTGTGTTGAAGTTCAATATAAGCGCATGCGTATCATTGCTTAAGCGTTTCGGAGCTCCTAAAGCGTTTCAGCATTTTACACATATCTAAGCGCTTAAAATTGCACTTATGACGTTTTTGAGCTCTCTTCGACCTCCAAAATATAATTTATGTGTTATTTTGCGCTCTTCGAGCTCAAAGAGTAAGCAATTCTATGCTTTTGAGCTCAAAAGTCTAATAAAAGTTTAATAAAATACTATTTTTTGTATTTTCAAGCCGCAATAACTTCTGAGTACCGATTGAATTACGACAGTTTATCAATCGGCTACTCGTGGACAGAAATCGGAATCTGGACCCATTGCCAGCGTGGAAGACTATCGAGAATGAGTATTCACATTTGTCAACAATTGCTAAGAAATATTTATCCATCGTTGCTATATCGACACCTTGCGAGCGTTTATTCTCACATACAGGTCAAATTGCTAATCAATTACGAAGTCGATTATCACTTGAACATTTAAACATGTTACTATTTTTGAGATCAACTACGGAAAGTGTTTGGATTTCAAAAGCCTAATTGTTAATTTGTTATATGTTGAATAATTTAATTTAATTTATAAAAACATCTATAAAAAAGTGAGTTTAATCTAAAAAATAAAAGAACTGTCATAATTGAAATGATGTGAAAGAGAAGTAGTACATTTAACCCTCGGAGTACACTGGGGGTCATTTAGACACCAGAATTTTTTATATCCTAAAATATTTTTCGAAAATAGGTTCATTTTTAATTGATTTTTTCAACATTAAAAACTATTCAATTTGGAATAATGGTAATTGTATTTAAAAGAGCATTGTTTTACCTACCAAAAATGTAATAACCTGAATTCAGATAAAATGCATAGTTTGTGAGATATAATTCTTCGAAAGTCAAGTGGGGTCAATTTGATCCCATGTGTACTCTAAGGTTCTGTTCGGAGGTGTGTACTCCGAAGATTAAAATATTTATGCATTGAGAAAATGCTAGCCAACGTCTTGACGAAAGGGTTGAATGATGCGAAACATCGCGAATGATTGTGTAATTTAGGTATGATAAATGTCGGCTCATACTATATCTTCACTCATGTCTTTGAGGGAACGTGTTGAGATGCATGAAGGGCAAAAACTCATTTATGAGTCATAGAAACATCTTAGGATATTATTATAATCATTATTGAGTATGATAAGTCAGTCTGGCATGAGCCTTTGTGTCGAAGACGTCAATTTAGTCTCAATAAATTTGTATATTCGTTATTAGATATCATTGTTAAATAAATATGGAATTACGCAATTTCGCTTATTTATTTCAACAACAGGCATAATTTAATTATTTTTTGTTAATGATATTGATGTCAATTCAATTTTGTTAAATTTTGATCGTCTAAAAATGACAATTCATTTTTTTATGATACAGTGATTAAAAATAGTAATAAGTAAGTACCTATTTGAATCTTGGCGGCCCATATTTCCAATACTGCTATTTTGTGTATTTTCTCGGACTAAAGTTACATTACGTGGCACTATTAATGAGGCATTGTGACTTTTCTGTGACAGCAAAGGAGATTCTGCACGAGATGGATTATTATTCTGTTTTGAATTATTATCATTTTCACATTCCTCTTCCTCTTCAATGTTTCCTGGTAACCTGAAGAGTTTTTGAGGTTCTTCCATTGTGAAAAATACTTCAAGTACTGAGCGAATAATTTAAAACTCAGTAATTTTTAAATTGTTGATTTTTTCTACAATAGTAGCTCTTCATAATAATTTACTTGCTTGTGTCATAAAAAATGCCATTTTTATACATTATATGATTGCTCATCTTCATAACTGATTGGCTGAGTTATCAATGACAAATTCAGAAAATCTGTAAGAAGCAAAATTTTTTTTTTATAATAAATTAAAAATTATTGCCACTTATAACAACTAGTAAAATGACATTTTAAACATTGTATTATGAATTATTAGAGTATAATTGCATACCGAGAAAAATGATAAAATACTGATTGTCTTAAATGATGAATTTATTTCGTCAATTAAATATGAAATATAAAAAAAAATTTTCGACATGGGGCACCAGGCTGAGTTAAACACTTTAGACCCCGATTTGGCTGAATATTTTTGACTTCTTCTAACTTGTCAAAATGTTTTTCAGAATTTTTTCAAATATTTTTATCCAACCAAAAAAAAATTATGAGTTTTTGAACATTTTGAACTTTCCGCTAAGAAAATCGAAGATTTTCAAAAATCGGGAAGTTATTGTTTTCACCCCGTTTTGCAAAAATCGAGTTTTCATCAGATCTCGACGTTTGAAGGTCACAGGAAGCTTCCCTGACTATCCCTGCAAGGTTGTCACGATGCCTGTATGTGTGTGTGTGTGTGTGTGTGTTTTTATTTTTTTTTCCCTCTTAGGGGGGGGGGGAATCCTTTTTACGGATTCTAGGCATAGCTGTGTGGCCTTGATATGTGGCGACTCGACGCAGCGTCATACTAAAACTAAAACGCTAACGCCCCTACTCACTAAACCCTAAACCCCTTTTCCTTCTTTCCTCTTATCCCTCATGGAAACCGCCGTCAGGCATTACTTCGTGAAGGGAGGATCTAGCTACTGCTCTTCCTTCTGGTGGCTAAGGTTGTAACGGGTGGTTTATTTCCCGTACGATTGGCCCTATTATTTAAATTTAATAAAACAACAAAATAGCAACAAACGATCTTAAAGTTAAATAGGGCGCCATCAGGATTATTTTCTCGGTTCCTGGAACCGGATGCCAGAGCTGAGCTTCTTATTCTACAGGGAGAGAGAGAGAGAAAGGTGGTCTGAAATAAATATATTTTGATTAACAACGGTACCAAAATTTATTAACAACAAAATTAACAACTCGTGCACTTGCACGTACACTCCCAACTCACTTACAACTACTCACTTATGACTAACTGGAGGATTTCGGGCTAAAACCGGCGACTCCACTTAATACTACGACTTATAACTACCTCCACACTACCGCTTATAACTACCGGGGGATTTCGGGCTGGAACCGGCGACCCCGACTCGTCACCCTGCAAAGAGACTAATCGTATGCAAAGGCTCGTTAACTTGGCTCACGAAAGTAGTCGACCCAGTGACTAAACGTAGACCGATTCCCTCGCGTGAGCTTACAAAAGGATGCTTAATCCCGCAGTACCCTCTTATGGAGCGACCATACTGCGGTTTCTACCTTACTACCGCTGTACCCCACTTGGCGTCTATACAACGGCGTCTACGCCAGCGAAACACCTCGCAAAGAGACTAATCGTATGCGAAGGGACGCTGGTAGCACACACACACACACACACACACACACATAACCCACACTATCTCCACACACACTGACTCTACTTTATTACTTCCGGATAAAATTTACCAAATTAACTTCAACAATTTTACAACGTTAATTTATTATTAAAATTGACCAGTCATTAGCTTACAATAAAAACTCCTGAATTTATTCTCATAAATTAATAAATTTACTTCTTAAAATTTCCGGCTTAAACCGACGCTCCTTTTTCCTCCATTTTTAACACGAGCTTATTTCTGCGCATTAACAATTTCTTAGAATACTCTTTTGTAAAGTTTTACTATATTTTTCACGGACGTAATCCACATGAATAAATAGTTTTATAAATAATTTTGCCGGAACAACAATACTAAATTATTGATAAATTTTTACAAGACAATATTTCAATATATAAGACTCCCCAAGCAGAAATTGGCAATTAAATTAGATAATAAATTATAATTTTACTCAATATGAAAATTACGTGCCTCAATTTTCCTGCGGGTGTTTAAGTCTTATTTGCGCCGAAATTTGGTAATTAATTCTCAACAATTAATAACACGTGGAATAATAAATTTCTAGTGATTTGCGAATGACGATTGGATTATAAATAATTCACTTCAGTGTGAAAAAGTAATTTCAAAAAATTACCCACGGTCTTAAATTTCGAAATGCGACGCAGTTTTCCTCAATAAATCAATTCCGGTACTTAAAATTGTTCCGAATAATTAATTAAATAATTTTCCACAATTAATAAATATAAATAAATAATTAAGTGGTAATTCAATTGCTAAAATTAGTCCATGTATTTATTTTATAAATCTACGGCGTCACCAAATTCTTAAGGAATTTGCGTGCTCAAGATGGACGCCGTTACTGCTGCGTAGTAGCTTGACCTCGGGTACTGAGAGACGCTTGACTGGTCGTGAGCTATGACTGGAATGTTTTCTCGATATTCAGAAAATTATATTAATAATTTGTTAATAAAAAATGAATTCATTAATGCCAATCAAAGGTATTAATTATTATTAACCAGCTGAATTAATAACTTGATTACTCACGACCAAACCCCGGAGGTCTGGAACATTCCTCGGGTGTAACAATCCCCTGGAGGAATTGTTCTCAAAGCTAACAAAATTAATTTAATTCAAACAGTTAAATTATTATTGAATAAAATATTATAAGACGAATTGAATTACCATTAATTTAATAAATGAGAAGTAGTATGGAAATTGAGCCGGGTGTGACCCCCAAGGCTCAACACTACCAAAGCCCAATACCTGGCGTCAATTGGTTTGAAGGAACTCTTTGGTTGCTAATGGCTTCCTTCTTGGACTCCTCGATGTTACTTGTTTCAACACTACACCACTTCTCTCGACACAACGCACTGCTCAGCTATTTAATGGCTCCCCGAAATACCCCCTCCTACTCTCTTTCTAGGGCCGAAGATCGATGCGCCAAAATGCTAGTCGACAAAGTTATCGATCTCTGGCGACTTATCGATTAAGGGTAATTTACCCTGTTACAAGGTGTTAACTTCCTTCTTTCTATCTTCTGCTATTTGCTCTTCTTCTTTCGGTGGAACGCAAGTCTTTGAGGACTTCTTTTGCAAACGTGTTGGTAGCGTTCCAGGCAGCTTCTGATGACAACATTGCTTCCACTAGTAAACTTGGTTGCATTCTCTGGTTCAGGATCTTCTCCAGTTCTTCACGCTGTGGATCGAAACGAGGACATACAAAAAAGACGTGCTCCGCATCATCAGCAACTCCTGGGCAGGACGGGCACTCCGAAGAGTCATCGTGCTTAAAGCGGTGTAGATACTCTCGAAAACACCCGTGTCCCGACAACATCTGCGTAAGATAGTAATTGATCTCGCCGTGATTCCGGTTAAGCCAAATGTCGATCCGAGGTATGAGACGGTGCGTCCACCTACCCTTCTCTGCAGCATCCCATTTTAGTTGCCATCGGCCTATGCTCTTCTGTCGTTCTTCAATTCTAAGTTCTTCAGGGCTCAGTGTAGTTGACCTTTTTCGTTGGTAAAGGGCCCGTCTTTCCTCTGCTAGAACTCTAAGAGGTAGGGTTCCAGCAATGACGTACACTGCTTCTTCTGATACAGTGCGGAAGGCACTAGCTACTCGTAGGGCAGTCAGTCGATATACTGGTCCAGCTTTTCTCCATGATTCTTGGGTTTCCAGTGCATCAGCCTAAATGGATATTCCGTAAGTGAGCACTAATGTGACTACTGATGACAATAGTAGCCTCCTGCTCTGCATTGGGCCACCGATGTTAGGCATCATCCGTGCGAGACTAGCCCTCACTACTGACGCTTTGGCACTGACGTGTTCCACCTGCTGCTTGAAGTTGAGTCGTGCATCCAGCATCACTTCCAGATAACGGATAAATGGTTGTGATGTGATTTCTTGTTCTCCGATTCTCAACTTGATGGTTTCTACCGTTTTTCTGCTGGTGATGAGCACTGCCTCGGTTTTATGCTTGGCTAGTTGCAAGTTCATCATATCCATCCACAAATTAACTCGTCTGAATGTAATATAAAATGCCATTCCTATCTCTTCGAGGTGCTTTGTGACGATCACGACAGCTACGTCATCCGCATATGCTACAAGTTTGACTCCCGTAGGCAATGCTATTCTCAGGAGGCCATCATACATGATGTTCCATAGCAGAGGACCTAAGACTGATCCCTGTGGCACTTCTCCGGAGATTTCGTACACTTCCGTACCATTCTTCGTGTCATGTTTCAGAATCCTATTCGTAAAGTAGCTCGCTACTATTCTGCGAAGGTATCCTGGTAGGTTTTTTTCCTCTAGTGCCCGCATAACGCAGTCCCAGTTAGCGGAGTTGAAGGCATTCTTGATGTCCAAAGCAGCCACCAAGCAGTATGTCTTCTTTCCACCCTTCCATCTCGTTCCGGCGATTGCATCCTTGGCTGTATCAACAACCAATTTGATCGCATCCAGAGTTGACCGTCCTTTTCGGAAACCAAACTGGTTCTCTGCCAGGAGTGGGTCGACTACAGCCTCTATTCTCTGATGAATTATGCGCTCGAATATCTTGCCGGCCGTGTCTAACATGCAGAGTGGTCGGTAGGATGACGGTTCTTCCGGCGACTTTTTTCCCTTCGGAAGTAGCACTAGCCGTTGCTGTTTCCACTTCTGGGGAAAAGTCCCTTCCTTCAGGCATGTATCGTAAACGTCCAGGAATAATGTCAGTACTGCCCTAAGTATTGATTTCAGGGCAATATTAGGGATTCCGTCCAATCTCGGCGCCTTATTATTCCCTACTCGATTGCCTGCCTCTATCAACTCGTCCAACTTGATAGTTAAGATGTCTTCAGGGTTG